TTTAGAACCAAAAACATGCAAGAGAAGCACAAACAAGACAAGTATGCACAGATGTTCAACCAAAACTAAAATTATAACTCAGCAACCCCCTCGAGATAAAATTACAGAGAAAACACCACGGCAAGGACTCCACAAAAAAACTGAACACCCACAAGAGAAGCGAGGCCAGTCGTGACGTGCAAGCTGCTCGCACAGAGCTGTGGAGTGGAAGTCATTTCCTCTAAACAAACAGGAGGGGTGGGAGTCGTAATCACAGGCGGGGGAGGCGGGGGAGGCCACACGTCTGAGCAGATGAGACCCGGCTTTGATCCTGCGGATGTGAGGGTCGTCTCAGTCAGGCGTCATTTCACAGACCTCCACCGTATGTCCACGATACCGAGGAGGAGAGCATTAGAAATCAATAAGCTTCCAGAAATATCATTTTTATCTCATCTTCAGTTTATTCTTATGAAAATATGAAACAAGCTCCCTGCAGTGAAGTAAAGAACGCCTGAGCTGTTAGAGACACCGAGATGACCCTTTAACCACCTTAAGGTTAGTGAATGACTCGCTGACCCTCAAACCCCATTAAAGCTGTTAATCAGTGCTACAAACAGCAAAGCAGCAGCTTTGAGAAGCGACTTTGCAGAAAGTGCGATGCTTTCTGCAAAGCCACAAAATGCGAGGCATTCGGGCCCTGAAGGAATGCTTTGTGTGGCCTCCTGGATGAAATCTGCACTTATTATCCAAGTGTAGACAAGTGGCTCTTGAGATATGCAACAACCCCACAGTGGAAGCTTCACAAGGCCATTAGTCTTCCTCTTCACATATCAATTCCCCAGTGCTTCATCTGTACTGAAGAGTGGAAAGGCCTGTGAGCCAGGAGAGGATGAGGAGCCCTCTGTTTGACCCCAGCTCTTCACCAGCACAATGGGGACTCCCATCCAGGTCTGAGCCCCCCCCGCATGAAAACAGGTAGCTAAGAAGGAAACGTGTCCAACACTAGTTTCATTTAGCAGCATTTCGGGGTTGCTGAGTGACCTTTAGAGCTCCACGGAGACTCTTTTTGTTAAGAGCTCATCACGCACAGCGCTACGAGGACGCGGCTGTGGAAACAGTGCCACGAAAGACATTTCTGCGTTCTCGCGCTTGAGCTAAAGGTGTCCGCGAGCCTGTGGTGACACCTGACTTACTCTGAATCCGAGCGAAGGCGGCTCACTGTGGATTTAATCGCGAGTTTAATAAACTGGTCTCGAGGGGCGAATCCCCCTGAAAACCTCCGCCGTCCCTCGCCTCCGGTTCCCCGCTCTTGGAGCTCAAAGTTCAGCCTCATAACACCTGCGCAGCGCAGACGGAAGTGGAAAAAAAACAGCGCCAGATTACCTGAAGGACTCCCAAACACCAGCTGACTTTAAATATAATCCAGCTTAACCAGCAGCGCTTCATGGGATTGTCTCGTCTGCTCGCTGCAGGACCACCTGGCCGACAACACGCACCGAAGACACGCTCAACTTACGTAATTAATTAAGCAGAGGGCTCGTGCACGCTTACACGCGCCCACAGAGACACCTGGGACAACTGAAGCACTTTAAAACACACTTTGTATTAGCAAAAGCGACCTTAACTTACCCCACGCTAACGCTTCCCGGGCTCCTTTGGAGGTGCAGCTCCTTTCCTCGGACTCCTTTCTGTGCTCGGGGTCGGAGGGTAAAAGCTGGGTGATGCGTTAACTTTGCGCAAAAGTGTGCAAAGCTCCAGTCTGTGCCCGCCGCACACGGTACGTCCCCTCTGCGCCAGCAGCAGCAGCCTCTTTGTACTTGTCCGCTCGTGCCTGGGCTCCAAGTTAACCCGCGGTCATGCGCAGTCGGTGCCCTCCCAGGAGCCCAGTCTGAGCTGATGTGAAGGTCAGTTAGAGGCACAGGTGTTGCTTTACCTGCGCACAGGGCTCGGCCTACTTACACCAGCTGAGTCACGAAGAGCAAACAGCGCGCTCCGGACTCACCTTAAAACTCAGGTAAACGTGTAGGTTGATGCAGTTAGCGCATCGTTTGCTAACCAGTGTCTACACGTTGTGTCGTAAAACTGTGACCACACCGGGGAGAAAAAGACATGTACGTTACAAAGTTAAAGTTTTATAGTTTTAACTTACTATAACTAACGAAGATGTTTCTCTTCCGCGATACAATATAGAGCTCGGGACGATAGATGGAAGCGGTTTCAGTTGGCGCATTAATATCAAGTGTTCTTAATTGTTCTGTGTCGGATAATCTTATCGGGGCTCATTTTTTACGGTCTTTAAAATACTTACACTTTTAAATGAACCTAAATATTTAACGCAGACACACGAATACCTACATGTACATAAAAATGATCATTATTTCAAAGATACATGATGACAACAAGTTTCAGAAACGCATCCTCACTGCTTTGGACAGTCAGCGTCCCACCGGAGGCTGCGTTTGCCCGACAGCGCCATCTGGTGACCAGTGGCGTTAACAGCAAAGAGAAGCCAAACTCCCTGAATCTAACGTGGTCTGTGGAATAAACACGCAGCACTGACAGCTGACTGTTTACCTTCATTGCACATTTAAAGCCAACGTCTTTATTTTGTTTTCATTAGAGAAAATTTGTTTTCTTTCTATTAATTTATTTTTGTATTTAATTTAATAACTGTACAGTACTCTCTGTTTATAGTAACCATTGTCCTTAATGTAAATATGTAAGAAAAATTGTGTATGTTTCTGTTCCGTGTCCTGTGTACTGTTTGTTTGTATATGTGTCTTTTTGGCTGCTGTTACAACCAAATTTCGCCCTTGTGGGACAATTAAAGGATTATTCTCTTCTATTCTAAAACAAATGTAATTAGACCTGATATAGATCTACTATTTGAACGGCTACTGTTGGCACATCTTTGTGCGCCAAACAGTTCCTACAGCTTAATAGCACAAACCACAGTTTACAAATGAGTGAGTACACGGACGTGTGTCTACACACAGAGCAATTTGGTCTCACCTAAAACTATTTCTCAAATGGTAAGTATCAAAATTTGAATAAATGCTGATAATTACGCGTCAAATGTTAATTTAATGTATATAAATCGGATCGTTTTCACCTTTAAACGCTTCCTGTGCTGCAGGACAAACGTCTAACACTATCACAGATTGTTTAAAAAAAAAAAACAACGCACATATGACGTCACATGTGCAAGTGCGTGTGTGTGTGGGGGGAGGGGGGCACTTTTCACGCTACCCGACCCACAAACGTAAGCTGCGTTTAAGTGCTACTGCAGAACTGGGACATCTGGCCTTCATGGGACTCTCCTTTTCTTTTTTTTCTCACCCTTCGACTACAAAACCTATATCTGTCAATCACAGCCTTCATATGGAAACCCAAGAAAGTTAACATATGGTTTAATGTGCTGCTGATGCTACCGGTTGGATGCTGGACGCAGCTGCAGGCAGGAGAACATCTCTGAAGTGAGTTCATGCTCAGTAATCTATTGAATATGTGGGATATAGATATAATCCCGGTCATCTTTGATAACAGCCGACTGGCTCGGAGAGTTTAAGGACTATTAAACAGTCAGTCATAGTAGATTTTTATAAAAGTGTGTTTGCTGTTGCTGAACTGTCAGTGTTTTGTCTCATCACCAAGTAAACAGCTCAGTTAGATAAAGCCTGGAGATGGTGATGAGCTCCTAGTGTTTGTTTCCAGTTTTAAGCTTACAGAGATCATTTTTGCTTGAAGTACTTTGAGGTCACAGAGCTCGTCAGCAGTGAAGTTTACTGTATGTTACAGAGCCACGTGAGATTAAAGGCTGAAAGGTTATAAGACAGAGTGCTTCATCTGACTCTTTTCATTACACTTAAGTCAGGTAAAGCATACACAGTCTGCCCTGAGTGAAAATCAATTATTATGAGTTATATTTGTGTTGAGATTCGGTGAGTTTATTCCACTGCACTGAACTGAAAAGCAGATTTACGGGTCTGAAATGTCACCAGTGTTTCTCTGTGAAGCAACGATTCAACATACAGGTATGTTTGAGCTGTTCCCATATCTTTATCTTCTGACAGCGTGACCCCAGATACATGTTAGTACTCTGGGAAACTGTTTTGTGGAAGATCAGATTTCCTCCATGGTTTTGATTCGGTCTCTTCTAAACTACACAAACATCCTTGTGTTTCCGTGTGTGCGTGCAAACGGGCGCACATGTTGGATTTTATTGAATGTGCAGCTTCGTCACATTTTGCCTGTCTTCATCGGTTTTATTGAAACACATGATGGACAGCTTGCTTGTGTGTCTTCAGCGGTATGTGGTAAAAACGGTTTTCAGCTCCATTGCAGCATCTTCAAGTGTCACAATCGCACTGAAGTGTTCAAGAGGAAGGTGAGACTTTCTTACAATAAGGACATGACAGCATTGGAGTGACTTTTAGAAAAATCTTTCAACCTCAGCGTTAAAACACTGCAGACGTTAAAACTGTTCTAACTGGAAGCTCATCGTACTACCACATACTGGACATGAGCACTACTGTCTCTGCACTGGCTTGTTTTAGCCTCTTCGCCCTGACTCACAGCATGTTGTACAGTTTGATGTTTGCATGAAGCATTTTCATTTGACTCGGTGTTTTCTGCATGCTGGAGTTTCAGGAGTTCAGATCCTCACTCCCACGCTTCTGTTCGACCTGATGGTTTTATGACTCCAGCTGATTTGCACAAGTTATGAAATGAGGTATGAAATGAGCATGCGAGCGTCTCTGGAGCCACTAATCTTTCCAAAGAGAAAATCCAGGGCAACGCGCTGAAAAGTTCGTGTGCGCAAGAGGAATGTAAACGCTGACTATCGTGCGCAGAAACAATGCGTGTCCGCACTCCTCGTATCTGTGTCGGGCTGTCGCTCTCAGGGAACAAAAGTCTGGACTCGGGCTTGTGCAGCTCTCTTTGTTCTGCTCACATCCTTGTGTTTGTAACACTATCGTGTCATCGCTGCAGCGCTCAGTGTGCACAGCGGGGCCACACCTCTCCGCTACATACACTCCCCCCACGGCTGTCCACGCGCAGTTCCGCGTTGCTGCTGCATTTAAATCCTGCAGAGTTTCCTCAAACCCGCAGTTCCAGCGACTCACCGGCACCATGTCCGACAGCAGCACCTTCGACACCAACGTGGTCACCATGACCCGCTTCGTCATGGAGCAGGGCAGGAAGGCCAAAGGCACGGGGGAGCTGACCACGCTGCTCAACTCGCTGTGCACGGCGGTGAAGGCCATCTCCAGCGCTGTGCGCAAAGCTGGGATCGCCCACCTGTGAGTGAGCCACGTTACACACGCCGTTCGGTTTGGAAGTAGCTGTTACGGCCCTGCCAGCACTGTTCCGTACTTGAATGCAGCGCTGTGTAAAGCCCTCAGCGGCACGCAGGGCTCCAGGGTCTCTGCGCCAATCAGAAAGCGCATACCTGGAACGGACACGCCCATTTTATGAGACATGCTTCGGTCCACAGGTGGTTATTACTCCGGTACTTGTTTTTTTTTTTTTTTACCCCGAACCAGTCGGGGAACGGGCCAGCTCCTGCTCACTTCTGCATTTGTCTTTATTTCTCCATCTCCGCTGGTTTATGTGAAGTAAGAGAACATGTTGCATGTTGTTCCTGCAGAACTGCGTCTCAGAGTAACGAGTGTTTCAGAAGCGTAGCGTCACGCTTCTGTTACTCTTATTTATCCAGTCTGATGGAAACAAGGAAGTCTCTGTCATTTAATTCCACACAAAGACGTCTTTGTTCAGTATCCAGAGCAAGTAGTCCCAGCAGTTTCACTCAGCCAGGCTTACTGCTTTGTTACTACCTGGTGGATCTGTGTGTGTGTGTGTGTGTGTGTGTGTGTGTGTGTGTGTGTGTGTGAACTTTTCACGCTCACTTGTTTTTGCTTTTTTCAGTTACGGCATCGCCGGCAGCACCAATGTGACGGGCGATCAGGTGAAGAAGCTGGACATCCTGTCCAACGATCTGGTCATCAACATGCTCAAGTCATCGTTCAGCTCCTGCGTGCTGGTGTCTGAAGAGAATGACAAAGCCATCATAGTGGAGCCAGACAGGAGGGTAAGTGTGAGACCAGGTGAGATATTTGAACTTTGAGCCTAACCGGGTTTAACGCTCCAGGTTCCTCTAAGAACCCACCGAGCCTGAAAAACCTGATCTTATTTGTGCGGGGCGTTTTCTGAAAACTGAGACGGATCATTCAGATATTTCTAAGTTGACTTTTTTAAAAGTTCCTTTAACAGTGAATTCCACATCATCCGAGTGTAACATCCAGGGGAAATGTGCTTTGTAAAACCTTTGGAGCAAACTCAGAAACCAACTATTTTCTATGACATCTGACAGTTGCATAGATACAGTCAGATTCGGTGATCATCAGGTGATCAGTGAAATTAGATAAGGCCTCAGATTCGCTGCCTGGAGGCGTTTCAAGGCAGCTGTTGAGACGCCTCTTTGTAGAAGTAACTCTCTCCTGTATATAACACGTCACATAGTCACTGCATGTTTTTCTACTTCTTCAGGGGAAATACATCGTGTGCTTTGATCCTTTGGACGGCTCCTCCAACATCGACTGTCTCGTCTCCATTGGCACCATCTTTGCCATTTACAAAAAGGTACTAGCACAGGGTTAAGAGCTTATGACGAAACTGGTTTGTTCTTGATTTAAAAACTTAAAGTGTTGGCAAACTGTTTGTATTGGATTTTACAGCTGCATCACTTGTAGATGTTTAAAGCAGGGACTAAACTGATTTTAATGCAAACGCTCCACTAATGTCGAATCAGGCAACAGAATCAATAATGACACGACTGATGCCGTTTCCCTCAGACCACAGATGATGAGCCCTGTGAGAAGGACGCTCTGCAGCCCGGCAGGAACCTCGTGGCAGCGGGCTACGCCCTCTACGGCAGCGCCACCATGGTAGTGCTCTCCACCGGCCAGGGAGTCAACTGCTTCATGCTCGACCCGGTTAGCGCTCTTTTGAAGGTTTCGCGTGTTCCACATAGAAAAGCTGCAAACTGATTTTATCTACAAACATGTTTTTGTTGTTACTGCTTTTTCTCTTTAGGCGATCGGGGAGTTCATACTGGTCGAGCGGGATGTGAAGATGAAGAAACGAGGGAAGATTTACAGCTTGAATGAAGGTTATGCAAAGTACTTTGACCCTGCTGTCACAGAGTACCTGCAGAACAAGAAGTTCCCTCAGGTAACGCAGGTGTCCAGACATGTTTGTCTCCAGGGGGAAATTTATACATTCCAGCAGTATCCACAAACATGCTGGATATACAATAAACACTAAATACTAATAGTGCACACTGATGTATTTTTACCGTAGACCTCGTCACTAAGCAGATGTTGTTTTTGACGCCCCTGTAGGACGGCAGTGAGCCCTATGGCTCCCGCTACATTGGCTCTATGGTGGCAGATGTGCACAGAACGCTGATGTATGGAGGGATCTTTTTATACCCAGGAAATACGAAAAGCCCCAAGGGAAAGGTAAGGTCCTGCAGCTGTATGTAAAAGATGGGTGCAGTGGAGGCGTCCGTGACACCACTTGAGTTCCTCGATTGGCCCCTCAAGGCTGGGATCAAAATCAGCTCAGTTCCCACAGATGATTACAAATGATTACAAGCAGAACTAATGTCTACAGTGTTTTAGTGCAGGTACATAGATGGTTTGGGGTCGATAGTTTGTCACTCAGCTGCAGGTAGAATATAGGTTTTTAAACTCACCCACTCTGGTAAAGTTTAAAGTCCAGTTAGCTGAGCGACGGGTTTGCTGTCCGCCTTCACAGATTTGAAGTCTGCTGTGAGTTACAGATCATTCCACAGCATGTCTTCATCCTGTCTTCCTTCTCTCACCCCAACCAATCACAGCAGATGGCCCCGCCCCTCCCTGAGCCTGGTTCTGCTGGAGGTTTCTTCCTGTTAAAAGGGAGTTTTTCCTTCCCACTGTTGCCAAAGTGCTGCTCATAGGGGTCGTATGATTGTTGGGTTTCTCTCTGTGTGTATGATTGTAGGGTCTTCCTTACAATATAAAGCACCTTGAGGCGACTGTTGAATTTGGCGCTGTATAAATAAAACTGAATAGAATTGAATTCCAGTAGTTTGTGCTTCGGTTACGTTGGTTTAAATGAGCATTTCAGTCTGTTACTCTGCACTAACTGGCAGGTATTATTTATGGCTGATGAAAGCAGCTTGCTCACTTTGACATTCTGGTTCCTGGTTCTGAAAAGTGAAGCCGGTACAGCCAGAGGTCTGCAGGAAAATGCAGACTGTCGATTACATTTAAAGCACAAAAAGAAGATCTTTACATGAACAGGACGAATGATCTCTTCTAGAAAGTCCTGGTCCATCAAACCATCCATCTGGTTTTTTTCCTTCAAGCACTAAAATGCTGAACGAGCCTGTGAGTTTTCCAGACTTTCTCATGAGCACTTACACCTTCCCTCCCCTCTCGCTCAAAGCTGCGCCTGCTGTACGAATGCAACCCCATGGCCTTCATCATGGAGCAGGCGGGCGGCATGGCCTCCACGGGCTTCGAGAACATCCTGGACATCCAGCCCGAGAGCATCCACCAAAGAGCTCCTGTGGCTATGGGCTCCAGCGAGGACGTGCTGGAGTACATCGCCATCTGCCAGAAACACGCCAAGAAGTGAGACCGCACGGGACTCGCACAGCGGTCCTCCTGTTGGGATGCACGTCACCGCCTCTGTAATGATGGTTTTTATGTAAAAATGGGTTTTAAAGACCAAAAATGTGAAGAGATTTGGAGGCACGGTGTTTTCATGCCACGTTAGCCCTCCCATTTTTAAGAGGTGCTTCATAAGTTCACATACTGCTAAACAAAAGCTACCAAAGACCAAAAATGTGCCAAAACACACAAACGCACTTCAGTCTGAGACCTTTGCTCCTCAGTTTACCTCCAGTTGTGCCTTAAATCAAAGAGACATTCCAGATGTGCAAAAGACCAAAAACAGCCTCTTTGCAACCAAACGTGATTCTTTTATTATGTGAAATAACAGCTGTTTGGAACAATGAAGTCTCTCAATAAATGATAAGAACGAGTGAGTGTTTGATCATTTCAGACGTGTGTCATCATCTCACAGTTATTCAGTTTGTGTCCCTCGATAATATCTTGAAATCTTCAAGTTAGAGGCTAAAGTTCAAAGATACTTATTTCAGTGGAGTCGACCTTTAAGCCGGGGTCAGCTGAAGCTCAGAGAGCCGACTGACATTTAAAGCTCGCTTGAGCTGCTGTTGTGCTAAAACACGGCTGCAGAATCGAATCTGTGTCCCCGAGCCTGTAACGCAAAGACACACAACATCAAACTGAAACAAATACTTCAGCTTCTTCTGAAGTGTAAACCTTAACCTCGAAGTCAGCCGTGATTATTTTTGACTGTAAACCTGGATGCATGTTCAGAATCTGCTGCAGACCTGCTGTCAGGTTCATGTGAGGTTAAACGTCCCAAAGAGCTGCCACGTCACCCCAGCCTCGGGCGCCTGTTGTCAAACAGCCTGTAAACCTGTTGCCTAAATGAATTAAAGAGCTGATAAAAGTGTTGTGCAGGATTAAAGCGTGCCAGTCTGCAGCTGACACCCGACACCACCTACACACCCGCTCTTCCACTCGGCTGCGCTCACAAATAGATCAGCTCAGCTTCACAGTTCTGGGCACGTAAAGGACGAGGCTCATAATGAGGAGGCTCAGTCGTAGCTTGCTGCCCAGCAGGAAGGACAGAAGAACCAGGATCCGGCATGTCGGACCAGTCGGCGTTTGAGACGGACGTATGGACCCTGACCCGGTTTGTCATCGAGACGGGGCGGCAGGCTAAAGGGGCGACGGGTGAGCTGACCCAGCTCATCAACGCCATGCTGACGGCCATCAAAGCAATTTCATCTGCTGTGCGTAAGGCAGGCTTGGCCCACCTGTGAGTATCACCTACGTACAGGGACAGTTCAGCATGCGGGGACAAAGCTGTGCGTGAACTTTGCTGTTGGAGGTCGGCCTCCGTCACAGAGCTGGTGGAGCGACTGGCTGTTTGTGTTCAGTGTAGGAGCCGTCACAGATAAATCTCCTCTGATTTCAACACTGCACAATAAGAATGTGCTGGATAAAGGTCGCACCGCTGCAGTCAAAGCAGCACACACAGCTTTGTGTGATTTCAACACTCTAATCGTGACTTTAATAAAAGATGGTGCAGTGAAAGGACGGAGCTGTGCGCATTGTTAAAATTCTTTAAGGGCAGGGGTGTCAAACACGCGGCTCCGGGGCCAAAACAAGCCCATCTGAGGGTCCGAGTTGGTCCGCTTCACGACTGAAGTGTGAACAGAGCAGCGATATTAAGATCTGGACAAATGGCTCAAATCATAAAAGCATAAAATGATTTAGTGTGAAGTCACAGATCTGCTGGTCCGACTGACTGGAAACATTTACCACATTTAATTAAACAAAGCTCGTTTTTCTGGAGACATGTCATCATCATTTTTCATTGGATAGCTTATTAAAAAGTGTCCATGTATGTCATATTGTGCAGGAGTGTCAGTGGTGCAGCCCGCCTCAGGTCAACGTGGGGTCGCAGGCGTGACCCTGACAGCCCGCTTTCCAGTTTAGTGTGTCTGGTTTGTTTAAAGCCGCAGGCGGAGCTCGTGAGGATCTCAAAGCACCGCCTGCAGTGCTTTGAGATCCTCACGAGCTCCGCCTGCTGACATCGTGCCCGCCCGTGAAGAAAGCATCATCATCAGAGAGCTTACATAACCAATCACAGCTCAGCTCTGTTGGCAGTGAATGGAGTTCGCCTCACACGTGATCTCCAGTTGAAGAAACCACTGTGGGGGAAAAAGCAATAATGACGAATTTTTCTGTGACTAACTGAATTTCTCTGCTCAGCCGGATGTGAGCAGGTTTGCTCTCAGTCAGGTGTCCTGTGTGTGGGCGTGGCTAACGTGTGGCTGCTGATTGGTCCGTGCAGGCAGGGTCTGGCGGGCGCTGTGAACGTGACGGGGGACGACGTGAAGAAGCTGGACGTGCTGTCGAACGACCTGGTCATCAACATGCTGCGGGCCTCCTACAGCACCTGCTGCATGGTGTCTGAGGAGAACAAGGAGCTCATCGTCACCCCCCAGGAGAAGAGGGTAAGCAGCCACCTCACAGCCAGGTGTCTCTGTTCCACCCTCACAGGTGAGTCCATCTTTATCCTCTGATGAATCACATCTGTGGTGATGGGCGTGACCTCGTCCAGTCAGTCAGGACTGGTGTGACGCCTCACCACATCTAAGCCGGGGAGATCCAGCTCAGTATGAAGAGGAGCCGAGCTGTGGAGCATCGAGCTATTTTACAAGCTTCAAGGTTTTCTTTTAATTTGTCACCATTTTAAACCAGACAGCCGGTCCGTGTCTCATAATCACAGCACTCAGATTAAATTCAGTCAGCACAATACAGCTTTGTGCTGTTAGCTTAAAACTCAGTCAGATTTCTCACACTTGAATTGATTTATTATGGCAGAAGAATTGAGTTAGAGTATGAAATTTAAGGTTGAGGAGTAGTTGTACCGGCGGATGTCCACAGTCCGGAGTTACAGAGAAAAAAGAAATGTTCCTTTGTGCACAGATTTATGGCTCTAACTGTATTAATCACCCACAACATCGCAGGTGGACGAGTGAAACTCCTGAACGACAGCTGTTGGATCTGGATGTTTGAATGACGTCATGCATGTTCTGTCTAAGGAGCTCGGAGACAAAAGCCCTGTGGGAGTGTCCCCAAGAGGGTCATGGACCCCCTATTGATCCTCCACCTAACTGTACGAGCCACGGTGTGAAAACGGGTGCAGGTCACAATCAGCCAAGGTTGCAGGTGAAGCCCAGCCCCAGGCCCAGGAGTGAGGGGGCGTTCAGGCGTCTGGGAACGATTTCAAAACTGGATTATAGATGACAGACGGTTGGTGTCATAAGCCCCGCCCTCTGTTCACAGATGGCGTTCACAGTGGACATAGATGCTTCTTTCACTCCTCTTTCAAACCATCCTCTCTGTCCAAAATGTGAACATTGGCGTCCTCAAGAGTGACCTTTGACCTTTAGATGCAGGTGGATGGCCGTGTTCTGTACTAATCGCTCACCGGCTCCAGTGGTGAGCGAGTCATGTGATCAGATATGTGGGACGTGTTGGTTCTTTCAGTGGCTGTAGTGACGCATTAATACAGCACACTGAGTGATAAACACGTCATTCTGAAATAATACGATTCCAGTCTAACAACCGACACTTTGTTTATTTCCTGTTTACTTCCCGTCTCTGCCGCTCACCCCCAGCACTGGTTTTAGATGGCTGCATGACTCATTCACTTTTATTTGGAATATAATTTATTATTATCGTCATATTTAATTATTTAGTGCGTTTCTCCACAGGGGAAGTATGTGGTCTGCTTCGACCCTCTGGACGGCTCCAGTAACATCGACTGCTTGGCGTCCATCGGCACCATATTCGCCATCTACAAACGCGTGAGTCTGAGCTCAGAGTCTCGCCGAATCATCTGCATCACAAACATTTTGCTCCCGAGTCAAGGAAAACAGCCAAATCCTGGTACTGAATGAAGTCACAAGTATTTCAAACCATCAGCAGTAAAATATCTGAGTACATTTACTGTGATTACTTTAAATATATTTTCATTATACAGCTTTTGTGCTATTAAGTTACTTATTAGTTACTTGGGTAAACAGTCGCGCATCAATGATGCTGTGCAGTAATAACAGGACACCCAGTGTCCACACTGATTTTATTCTATTTAAATATTAAGATTTCCTGCGTCTCCCACCACACGCCTTTTTATCGATCACTCCGCTACCACGTTTTTAAAAGTCCAGGAAATGTTCTCATACTGTGAAGCTGCCGTCTGTAACAGAACCATCTATGTTACCCAAACACACCTCGAGTCTTTAAAGGCTTCCGGGATTTTCAGAAACTTCAGATTTCTGCAGGGTCGAGGTGCAGTAACATCCTGCAGACACAAGAGGGCGCTGCTGCCCAGCTAAACTTGGCTATCTGTTAGCGCGTTCCTGAACTTGCATGTTATGCTTACAGCTGCAGCCTGCTGAGCTACTTTTCAACATTGCACAACACAAAGCAACAGTTGTAAACAGGCCAGACCCAGACAGGCCTGCGTGAGGTTTATACCATGAACCCTGGTGTGATTCATCCACATGTTTTATTCTGAAATGAGAAAAACGTTAATCTGATGTCAGTTTGTGAGTTTTTGGTCTGATGCTACAGTCTTTGTCCACTGAGGCACTCAGTCTGTGAGCAGTTTGCAGATAATCTGTCAGGTCTGCTGTTGTTTTTCCCTGCTGTGATGTTCAGATCTCAGAGGGGGAGCCCACCGAGAAAGACGCCCTGCAGCAGGGCAACAACATCGTGTGCGCCGGCTACGCCCTCTATGGCAGCGCCACCCTGGTGGCCCTCAGCACGGGCGCCGGGGTCAACTTCTTCACGCTCGATCCTGTGAGTACTGCGGTCACAGGTTTCCACACCTCCACAGAGCGCCATGTGACGTTACCTGAAGGGCCCTTTTCTCTCATGGCTCCTTGTGTCAGTGATAATCTCATAAACTCGTGGTTAATCCCTCACAGTCGTGCTTTTCCTGTTTCTCTGGTTTATTGTTTCTGCCAAAGAAAGCAGACACGATGCTGTCAGTCATCCCTCGTGAGGCACATCTGCACAGTGGAATCACAGGACTGTAGACACACGTCAATCCTTTTAGCTTTGCCACAATGTTTCTGGCACCTCATCTCTGATTGAATCAGTTTACATCATCTCACTCGTGTCACATTCTGGGTTTCAAAGGTAAAAAGAGTCTAAACAAAGATCACGTACACATCTTCTCATCATTTTTCAGCATCTTGGGTCTTCTTGTCTCAAATATGCAAATTTCCTGATGCTTCCTGTTTTACTTCCTGTGTGTCTGAGTGTTTTTATTCCTCTCACCTGATGCCCTCCTGTTTCTCGTTCTTCAGTGAGCGCACGAGTCCCGTCTCCCTCTCTCTGTTTTCCTTCCTGTGAGTTTTCCTGTTTCAGCCTGCGTCCTTCATCACGTCCTGCTTTGTGTTTTTGTCTTTTGTTGTTTAGTGAACAACTTTGATTAATCAGCTTTTCAATAAACTTCACTTTTTCTTTGATATTGAGTTTTTTGGTCTTTAAAAACATTTTGATCAGCCTTTTTAAAAAGCAGGTTTAGTTATGATATCGTTGAAGAAATGAGTCTTGATGCAAACAGAAATGTAGGAAAAAGAATTTAGTCCAGAAACCTCCGGAGGTCTCGACAGCTGGAGAGAGTAATGTTGTATCATCAGTGTTTACAGTCGTGTACAATGCGGCACCTTGACTTTGTAATTTAAACACCTGAACTCTTCGACCTGAGGATTTTGCTCTTAAAGGAAGGCACTGGCTAACATCTGGATTTGATCCTTTGGCGCTGGTTCACTTCTGCTGATGTTTTTCTATCCTGATCATTTCTATTGTTTCCACTGAACGTCTAACTGTTTTCCTATCAGGCCGTCGGCGAGTTCATCCTGACTGAAAGGAGCGTGAGGATCAAGCCCAAGGGGAAGATCTACAGTCTGAACGAGGGCTACGCCAAGTACTTCCACCCCTCCATCAATGAATACCTCAAACACAAGAAGTACCCCGAGGTAAGAGCGCGCATGGCGTCCCACTTACTCAGAGCGCGTTGATGGTTTTAAATGTGATACCTTTAACTGAAGCTGCAGTAGAAATGCGAGCTATCGACCCACAGCGCATCTGTTCAGGTCTGTGGGCTCAAAGCTGAATCTAACACTCCTGCAGCCACAGTTCACACACAAGCAGCTGCTCGCACTCGTCATGTGAGTCCTGATGAAGCATCCGCAGGGCTAGAACACATTTACAGACTCACAGGCACAGAGAACATGTTTGTTGATCAGTCTAGTGTTATGGTACGTGTATACTTCACTGTTAGACTTGCTCAATAAAACCATTTCATTTGCTTGTTGGAGAAATTACTTCAACCCTATATGCACATGCAGTGCATTCTGGGTGATTTACAGTAAAAGCCTCTCGATGCATTTGTGTAGCGAGAGCAGGTAGAGGTTACCTATGCCCTGAAACATGTGACGGGCAGTCAGCGGAGCGTGACCGGTCGGTCAGGCTGTAGGAAGGAGTGGCGGCTCGGTCAGCTGAGCTGCAGGATGGTGGAACAGCTAATGTGAGTGCACATCCTGTTCCTCAGGAAACTGCAGCAGCTTCTCAACTGGAAACTCTGCCTGCACACTCAGCACTTTGTGAAGCCTGCGCTTGTCATGAGCGTCCTCTTCGTCAGCCCGGGATTCGCTGATGCTCTCGTTTTCTCATTTCAGTTTCCTTTGCCTTTGATTTTTCCTAAAAAGCAAAACAAAACCCTCCTATGTGCTTTTAGAATCACTGAAAACTCAAATTAAAAGTGGTGCATTGTGTCACGTGTGAGACATGACTCTGTCGACGCTTCGTGGGTTTGGTTTCAAACACAAAGACCAAGAAACTCCACACAGCAGCTACAGGACGAACGTCTCGTCACACGAAAACAACCTCTGTGGGATTATGTGTATTAAATGTAACGCTACCATAACAAACTAGCACTCTTACATGTCCACACAGCATAAAACACACACACACACACACACACACACACACACACACACACACAACACACACACACACACTCACAAAACACACACACACAACCTAAGGTGGGTATATTCGAGGGTGGTTTTGTGTTTTTGCAAAAGTCCATTCTGCACACGCTGCAGTTCCAATCAGGCCGAGTTTGCGTCACAGCAGATTTTCTACTAATATCTCTTCTGTGAACACTCACTGTCATTCACATTACACTTCACACAGCGCATCATGAGCCAGCACAATCCGTCAGTGACCACAGAGTTACTCACACTCTGTTTCCTTTATGAGGCAGCAGATCTTCAGCCACAAGGTTAAAGTGAAATCAACACTTTCTGAATGCCGCGCAGGGAAGTTTTTAGTCTCTGCTCCTTTTTTAAACCCGTCAGTTTCTCACCTGCATGAAGGATCGTTTACAAATGTAACGTCTGCATTTGAAAAAGCTTTATTTGTTTACAGCGGAGCAGCCGTACAGAGTCAGGTGACCAGATTTCAACACTAAACAAAACTCGCCCTGATCACTGCTCCCAGATCAGCACCCCTGCTGCTCAGGACGTCTCTCTCAGCATTAATATGCTTCAGATCATAAATCATACGTTCACACGTCACACCCTCGATAACTTCCCCTCACTCTCTGCTCGCTGCTCTTTCTTGTGACTTCGTTATTTTATTTTAGGTAGTTTCGCTCGAGGTGGATTTTTTTCTTTTCTTTTTGATCGTGTGTCATGTTTGGGAAGCCCTGCTTTACTTTGCACGCACGCACGCACACACACACACGACACACACACACACACACACACCACGATACTACACACAAACATCACAACACCTTGGTGTGATCTCAGCAGGTCACATGGACTTCTACATCATGTCGTGCCGGTCAGAACACGAACCTCGCTTGGTGGGAACTCCACACACCTTCGACTGCTCGCGTCACATGACGTCGTCACATTTGAACCTGTTAAACAACAAATTCTGAGAATAAAGTTCACTGAGAAGAATGTTTAATCACAAATGTAAAAGCAGACGTTGACGCCGTGGAGCGTCTGCCCGTCTGTGCGGGCGAGTGCTGCAGCTGCTGCAGGTGGACTTTGACCTGCCTGCTGTGCTTCAGTCACTCTGGTTCACTCGTGTCTTTGTGTGCAGACCAGCTTCATTCATACAAAAATCCCATTTAATGTGTTCTTGTGTAAAAACCAGACATTCAGAAGCTGTTTCAGTTTTACAAAATATGAAATGTGATGCAAATGTTTTTGTCAGAAGTCATTTCATTCAGACGTTACTTACAGGTCAGTTTTTAAAATGCACTCGTAGTGATAAAGCTGGAGTGTTGAACTCAGGTTTGCCACGCTGAGACGCTGGTCACATGACGCTGTTGCTCTACAGCTCTTTGTTTTTAAATGGTTGTAATATCTGTAATATACAGTTATTTGACAGTGACCACAGGAAGTAGATAAACTAACGCTTTACATCCAAGAATCAGCCAACATAAAATACCAGTCACAAACTGGGAAAACTGTAAAGGTCACAGAATCTCTGGGAATGCTAATGCTAATGCTAATGGAATCTGTGTGTGTTTAAATTTATTTCTTAAAATAAACCAAAATGTGATGTGGAGCATAGAAAATGTGAAAGTCACATTTAGTTTAGTGACATTTAAGATGAATTTCTCTCCTGCAGGACGGCAGTTCGCCCTACGGAGCGCGATATGTGGGCTCGATGGTCTCAGACATTCACCGCACCATCGCTTACGGAGGGATCTTCATGTATCCGGCCAATGAGAAGAGCCCAAAGGGAAAGGTAACCAGTGAGAAGGCTGCAGCTGTTCAATGGGGACTCGTTGTGCTTTTGAGTGGCTTTGCATGATTTACCAATCAGAATAATGCTTATTTATCTTACACGGGGCCTTGGTGTAGCAGGTGTGCCTGACATGAAAGTGATATCGACTCTCACTGACATCACGCAGAGCCCAGAAGAGGAAAAAAAGTTTTCAGAGCAGTCTGAGGTCTGAGGTTTTGGCTCTTGGGGATTTCTTGATTATACATTGAACTCACTATCTGAATCTTTGGCTGTGTTTAGTATCAGCACACATCAGTAAACAGTGTGAAGAGCAAAGCAGGTCCCCTTTAATGGGTTCACTCCACAAAAGAAGAAACAAACGTGTGTTTAAGTTTTAAATTTGTTTTAACTCCAAAAGTTTGATTGAAGTTTTTGCTCCAAAATGAAATGACTCTGACTGTGACGTGTGACCAGACACTGCCGTGGATGTGTCCGTGGACTAATCCAAGGTTGTCCTGAGATAAATGAAGCTCAGAGGCAGCAGAGACTGGTGGTAAAGAAAACCCACAAACCTCATGTGTCAGTGTGCATCCAGGCAGCTTCCCTCTGTGAGCGCTTCGAACACAACATCTGTCATATTTCCACCATTATTTCCTGGGCAAACACGAGCTACAGCTGCTGAACGCCAGTTTCAAAAACAGCAGCAAATAATATCTCTTAACATATGATTAATATATGATAAGATGTAAACTGAATACAGGGGAAATCACAGGCAGCAGGCAGCTGTGAACAAACCTGTGCACTGCAGTGAAGACGGGAATATGAAACTCAGACTGTCTAGTTTCAGCACATAGTCACGACCTGCTCGTTCACTGCGGGTGTTATTATTGAAATACTGACGAAGAGCATTTAAAAGTAACCTGGAAACAAAAACTTTCACATTTTGGCCAAATTTAGGGTTTTTTTAATGCTTAACAAAAGCACCACGTAAACTCCCAAACATGCCCCCCATCAAAAAGTTAATGTCTTTCACACGCAGGTGTCTGAATTCTGATCTGACTGATGTATATAGCTGAATGTAACAAATACAAATATAACACTAAATGGTAAATGTATTTGAATAGTGCTTTACACATCCAGTCATCCACCCAGTCACACAGTGGTGATGGCAGCTACATTGTAGCCACAGCCACCCGCACTGACAGAGGCGAGGCTGCCGGACACTGGCGCCACCGGGCCCTCTGACCACCACCAGTAGGCAACGGGTGAAGTGTCTTGCCCAAGGACACAACGACCGAGACTGTCGAGCCGGGGCTCGAACCGGCAACCTTCCGATTACAAGACGAACTCCCAACTCTTGAGCCACGATCGCCCCACACATCACAATATGAGGTTAGTGATAAAACACATGCCGTCAGCGTGCCATAGCGCTCCAATAAAGACACTCTATATGACCTTTGGAGGTGAAGTTCTGTGTGCTGGACAATCACCAGATGTGTGAATCTGCACAGCAGTTTTATTGCCCCACAAATTGAGCAAATGCACTGCGTTCTGGTTTTTCATAAGTCGGCGCTGTAGGACGGACGCCTTTCCAAAGCTCAGCTGTGAAGAAAGAGGAGGAGGCTTTCTTAAAGGTCGAATGGCGGTTGAAAGGTCACGAATCAGAAACGGTTTATGTGGATTTGATGGACACAAGAAAAGGAAATGCAGCCACAATAAAAACTAAGAAACTACTCCACTTCCCAATTCTGAGAGAATTTTCTTCCTTTTTTCTTGTTGTCATTCTCTAATATTGCCAGGAATCAGCCCACTACATGTGAGAGTCAAAGAAACAAGCGTGTCTCAGAAACATGAGTATCCGGTCTTTTAGTCTGCTGTCATCAGCTGTTTCCAGGTCCAAACTCCGCTTCAGGTCCCAAAGTCACACAAACACTGTGACATCACTGAGAGTTAAACTGTCTAAATTCTTTCATCTTCAATAAAATGATCAGCGTTGCTGCTTTACCAGGTGTAACAAAGTTTAACATCCAGGCATCCATGACAACAGAGTTTATGACATTTAACAGTTAGAAGTTAGCAGGAAGTTAGCTCGCTAGCTTCCACCTAAACATGATGTAGCATGTTCTGACTGAGAGACTTCTGAAAGAATTCAAACGTACAGCTCTGTTATCACTTCCAGCATAAATGAAGACAGAAACTAAACAGCAGTGACGTTTGTAGGGTTAGCTGGTATATAATGATGTGCTACGTGATCGCTAGCGACACAGCTATGTTAAATTCAAATTCAAATCTTATTTGTCACATACAGTCATACACAGTACGATATGCAGTAAAATGCTTAAATAACTGCTGTGACCTAAAGAAAAAAGACTATGAATAGGATAGGAAATAAATATGGAAATTAAAACGGGTAAATTTAACTGGGAAAGAATAAGATAAAATATATAAATTAAAGTTGAAAATAAGATAACTGTACAACAAAATACACAAATACACACATACACAATATAGAAATATATAAGAATGTATGAGGAAATATAGAATAACAGCAGCTGAGCAGAAGGTGAAGCTGGAGGATGAACGCTAACTTTTTCCCACCCGGTAAAAGTTAACAGGAGCTTGTTCAGGTTAAACAGATACGAAGCATTAAAACATGTTAAAAACACAACATTTGGACCCGGAAGCAGCGTTCATGCGTCATCACTTAGATGACAACAGATCGCGCTGGGACCTGTGCGTGCTCATTATGTGAGGTTATTGGTGCCTCTGATTGTTAGTCTGGGGTTCGTATCCCGTTTGTTGCGTGTCCAGAGTCCGGCACGCATTCAGCTTTTTATCCGTGATAATTAAAAACTAAACATGAACACGATCTGTCCTGATGATCGCCTGCGACATGTTGGTGGTCATCTGCAAACTGTAGCTACACAAAACTGGAAACGTGCTGTTGTGAGCCTCGGCTGCGCGCTGTGAGGTGGTTATCAGTCTCAGAGTGAATTTACCATCTTTAGAAATGATTCAGATTCCAGCTGTGACCGTGTGACCTCTAGCTGTAAACAGCTGCGCTGATCTTTTCAATATTAACGCACGTACTTGTGTCCTGTTTTTCTTCTTCTCCTTGAAGCTGCGGCTGCTTTACGAGTGCAACCCCATCGCCTTCATCATCGAGCAGGCCGGTGGGCTCGCCACCACGGGCACTCAGAGGATACTGGACGTTCAGCCTGAATCGCTCCACCAGCGGGTGCCCTTTGTCGTCGGCTCACCTGATGACGTCAACGAGTACCTGTCCTTCGTCAAGAAGTTCTC